CTCTTATTTAATTTCAAAAATCTTCTCTCTCCTTTTCAAAACTCTTCTTGTTTTCTAACTTGAACCGCTTTCATAATAAACTTGGACTTAAGTTCATGCATTTTCAAAGTCTTTTGTTAACCAACTTAATCACACTTTGACATTTTTGTGAGAAGACTAAAAGTCAATTAACCTCATTCAAACCATTTTGTCACTTTGACTTTTTACTTTAAAACTTTTTCTCAAAAAAAGATCAGACTCTTATCGATTCTTGTAGTGATACGAGCTACTATACTTCTACGATATATAGTGAAGTGAGATATTTTCCACTTGGATTTTGAGTGAGGCTTTGTTGATTTTAAAATCCAAGCTATATCCTCCACTTTGAGATGATGAAAATCCTCCTTTCTCATAATCGTGGGTAGTAAGTGTGTTTTTCACTCGGATATGACGATGATGCATCTTCTCTTAAAATTAACCAACACACATGTGTTTTAAAACTTTTTGAGGTGAACTACGAGTACGCTGATCCCCTATTGCACGTAAGATGGTATGTAGGCACTAAAGATTCACTACCGCGACGGGTGTAAAAATTGTAAAAAATACTTCTTTTCTCATCTCCACCGTCTATTTTTGTATACAACACATAAGCCAAAATACACAAATTTTCAAAGAGGTTCATGCGGAGTACCATAGATGTTTAGGGTACTAATACCTTCCATTTGCATAACCGACCCTCGTACCTATATTCTCTCCCCCTTCTTTTTGGGTTATTCACTCTTTTCTCATTCCTCTAGAAACAATAAAGTGTGATGGGGATTTTTATTTGATCTGCGTGAGTCAAGTCAATCTAATGGCTTAGTCTCAATATTTATACCGCTATAGTATGGCAGGAGGTGTAGAACTCCATTGGGTTGGTATGAGTCGGGTGAGAGTGTTGTACTCAGGCCTGAGGTTGTACTAGATACAACTGAAAAGATAAAGGTGATCCAAGAGAAGATAAAAGCTTCTCAGAATTGTCAGAAGAGTAATCATGATAAGAGAAGGAAGGATCTCGAGTTTCAAAAAGATGATCATGTGTTTTTGAGAGTTACTCTGGTAACCGGTGTTGGTAGAGCTTTGAAGTAAAGGAAACTTACGCCCCGTTTTGTTGGTCCGTATCAGATATCAGAGAAGATAGGAGAGGTAGCTTATCGGGTTACTTTTTCGCCGTCACTCGTGAATCTACATGATGTGTTTCATGTGTCTCAGTTGAGAAAGTATATTGCAGACCCGTCGCAAGTGATTTAAAAATGGATGACGTACATGTGAGAGATAATCTGACTGTTGAGGCATTACCATTGCAAATAGAAGGTCGGGAAGTGAAGAAGTTACGAGGCAAGGACACCGCCTTAGTGAAGTTAATATGGGGTTAACCAGCTGGTGAAAGTTAGACTTGGGAACGCGAGGATCAAATGAGGGAGTCTTATTCGAACTTTTCCTAGCCATGTAATTTTCGAGGGCAAAAATTCTTTAAGTGGGGGAGAGTCGTAACACCCTAAATTCTAGATTAATTATTATTTAATTAATTTAGCGTGAATATATGAGTCATTGTGAAGTATTCGATATATGAGATGTTTTTAGTGTTTATATGAGTCCTTGTGATGATTTATGATGATGAGATGAATATGATGGTTAATACTATGTGTGATGTGATAATTTGTGTGATGTAGGATGGGATAATAAGAGATGTTTAGAATTTAAATAATTAGTTCGAATTATTTAGGTTTAATAGTAATTATTTAGAATTTTGTGGATTAAATAAATAGGATAGTGGTGTCGAGAAAACAAGGGCAATATGGTCATTTGGGGAGAATAAGTGAGGATAATAGTGGAGGACCATATTAAGGGTCCAAGTGGTAAGTTATGTATAAGGAAGGTTTGGGAGTTGGAACGATCATTCTGTGGGATCGTAAGAATTGGAAGAACGTTGTGAAGAGGCAGAGCTAGGGAACAGAGAGGCAAGAGGATCTTGTGATAGAACACAAAGGGAATAGAATTGCTTCTATAATCTAAGATAATGGGTGTTTATTTTTATTATTATAATTGATTTAAGGTTTAGATAATTGTAGATTTGTGTTAGGTTTTGGTTGTGTTGAATATGAGATGATTTGATGAAATAGATTATGATTTGTAGCCTTGGATTGTAAATAGTTTGTACCCATAATGTAGAATATATTGGATTGATAAGGTTTGATGAAAACCCTGTGATTAGGTGATGTTTTAGGACCTATGATATGCTGAAATCACAAGATTGAGACTGATTTTTATGCAAGAAAACCTTGTTCGCGCAGGATCGTCGGGTGATGGAGTATCTTCGATGGGCGATGATGGCGTCGCTTGGCTGTCGCTAGGTGAAAACAGAAGCGACGAAGGGCAAAAAAGAAGAAATTTATTGGAGTGTGTCGCTCCAAGCGTCGCTAGGCAATGCAAGATGCGAAGGGTGTATCGCCAGACGATGGAAATGGTGTCGCCGGGCGATGGTGTCCAAAATTGAATGGTTGTGTTGGATTTTCTTAAAAGAGTCGTAACTTGAGTTTTAGAACTCGGTTTGGGGTGTCGTTCGAAATGTTGGATAGCTGTCGCAATGAACTATAGTTGGGTGGAGTTAAATGAGAAATAATAAGTACATTCCCAATAACTAAGTTAGGATAAATGTAGGCTTCTCGTGTTGGATCATGATGATACTTTGTTTATTATGATGATATGATGATATCATGATGATGCATTGTTTATTATGATGGTATTATGACAATGCTTTGTTTATTATGATGGTATGATGATATTATGATGATGCTTTGTTTATTATGATGATATGACGATATTGTGATGAATTCGTGAATGATGATGTGTTTTGACTAGTCGTGGTCGTATTTATTATGTTATTGTGCATCATGCATTTATGGCATAGTTTAGGACTTCGATCCAATCATTTTATTTGGACTTCGGTCCAGTGAAGATGATAGGATAATAGTTTGGTGAAGGTATCAATCCCATAGTGTGGATTTGGTGCAAAATTGTGAAGTGCTCTGGTTCCAAGTGGGAACTGATCCTATTGGTGGGGATCTTTGGAGAAAACAATGACTGAGTCATTAGTGAAATTTTGGTACGACATGCACGAGTCTATAATGTTGCATTACATTATAGGTGACATTGCTTAATGATGTGATTAAATGATGTTTCTTGATAAATGGTGTTTGAATGATATGTCGTTATGTATTGATGATGTTGTGAAGGTGTGAGTATAACAAGAGGTTATGGTGATGTGTGAAACCTTGCCTGTGTGCATATCAACTATATTTATTCCTTACGTCTTTTATAATAATTATGATTTACTCATCTTTTCTGCTTGAAAATGTTGCCTCTATCCGTGGATAACTTGCAGGTGATCAGGAAGTCCGTCGAAGCTTAGAGGATAGCTTCAGAGTGTGTTTAATTTCTTTTCGTTGAATTAAGAGAGTCTTCCTCTGATACGTAACATAAGGGTTGATATTGATTGGTTGTGAACCATACATTATTTTTTTATCCTGAGATTTTGTATTACTTTCATGACTTTTTCCATGTTTCTGATTATGATGTTATAAACATGAAGTGTGATGATTTTATTAACATTTGAACTAACTTTTATGATATTGGAGTTAATTTTAGAAGGAGTTTAAGACTCATTAATTCTGCTGCAAAGTTCAAAATGATTAGTTATGATACTACAGATTATATCTATGTGTTTCCCTTTGCAAGTCGTGTTACGAAGCAGGATTATTTGTGAAATGATGCTTATATGAAGACGTGACATGCTTGCTGTTGTTTTACGTTTATTTATTAAAAATATTTGTGAAAATCACGGAGTTCTAGAAGGGTGTTACACAAACCATATCATACATCAAACAACCAACTGCACATGCATAAGGAATCTTAGAAATATCCTTAATCTCTAAGTGTGTCCTTGGATAATATTCCAGAGAGTTTAAAATGATTTGAAAATTGAGTACACATGGGCTTTGCTTTGCTCATGTCAAATCTGCTAAAAACACCTTCAATATAGCTTTTATAAGAACCATAATTTATTAGCTCCTCTATCTGTTACACCTAAAAAATTTCCTCTATGATCCTCCCCCATTTCATATCATCTTACACATTAGGGTTGGTTCTCTCTTCTACTCTCTCATATCTTAAATTTTGATCTTGAAGGATCACCAAGCACCTTGAATTGTGTATCTTATATGTGTATTTAATGTTTACTAACCCTTAATCAAAATCCAAAAATATGTATGTTTTCTCTTTATACTTTTTACGTTGTAGGTGTGGAGCTAAGTGCATCTCTCTCCTCATAAGCTAGGGTTTTGAAGGTTGTCCTTCGGCCAATTGGCAAATCAATGGATTTTAAAAGCTTGAGCTTCAAGGCTATGATTATGGCATCAAAGTTCTATAGTTGGAAAACTCTCTCAACTTTATTTGGTCAATAATGCCTCAGAGATAGTGGTTGAATTCTTCAAGAAACTTCATAAGTTCATGTGTTTATTTTCGTGTCTTCTTCAACAAGTTTCATCAGACAATGAGCCTTCTCATCAACTGTGCTTAAATATAACATAATTTCAAGGTATAATGTGATTCATCATGTCTTAAATTGCAAGAAAAGTTCAAAATATTCTAAGTTGATCCAAGTGGTTTGACCTAATTTGGACAAGTCCTTGATTCTATGATCACAAGTACATAACTTTCTCAATTTTCAATATTTTGAAGTGATTCTTTTTGTAATGGACTCTTCGCATCATTTACAACAACTTCTCTGCACATGACAAGGTCCAATTGTGCAAGGGAGATCATCAAAAATTTGAAAATATACAAGTCCTTTGAGAATACAATGGAAATCTGTGACGACTTCAAAAGATCATAACTTGGTCAATTTGTATCTCCTTTAGCTCATTCTTTTTTCACAATAAATTTGAGGATGTCTACTACAACTTTGATTCTAAGATCAAGTTCTAAAAATGTGTGGGGAAGGTTATGGAAATTCCTAGAGAAGTGCAATCAGTTGGAATCCCTGTAAAGAATTTGCATAAGGACATTCTGTAAGAATGTAGAGTATGTACTAGTAATGTATTTGAAATTAACTTAAAAAGCAATTAAGAAGAGTTACACCATATTTAATACCAGTTATTGGAAATGATAGGTTCTAAGAATTACACACAGTAATAAAACAAATGAAATAGGAATGATAACATTTTTTCTCTTTCTATCTTTCCTAGCAGATCATAGTAACAGCAGCCGATTGTTCTAACACATTAGAAACATACAACACAGTAACAGCAGCCATGGGATAAGCAAACAGCAGCCATGGGATAAGCAAACAACAAAATCCTAAATGTACTATAATCAACATAAAGTAGCAACACATGTTTAATTGCTTTATCTCATGCTTTTAGAATTAGGAGGTGCACTCTCAGAATCTGAGCAACATTGTAATCTAGGAAACTTAACCTATTCTTTTGTAATAAGATACAAGTTCAAATCAAATGGACAAGGGAAACCTACCAATGCAAGCTCAGAATAGGAGAATGTGCCACTAGACTGAAATGTTGCAGAAATTTTAACTCTATCTAGTATCAACTAGTGCAGTCAGGGTATTTAGTTACATTAATCAGATTGAGTAACAAATGAAAATAGATTCTAACGGGTTATAAGGAAATAGTAGCTTATCTAAAATCTAGTAGTAACCAGCTGACCATCTATCATAACATATATGGTATACTACCATAAATTCTCAGAAAGCATCGTAGAGATGTCATTTATCCAACTAACATCCTAACAACGCAAAATATATAAGGAATAAAAGTACCTGAGGAATACAAAAGCCAATGAAAGCTATAGGCAGTGTTAGAAAGTCCAAGTATCACTTGTAGTACTGCATTAACAAAAATATTTCTCATTTAATTGTTGAATTACTGCTTTTAATTCAGTGAATAGAAGCATACACAACATTCTTAAACACTAATTGTAAAATGAAATAAAGATATTTATATCATAGAAAATGCTAATACACAAAAGTATCGTCTGTTTTTATATCAACTTTGTTTTTGCCGAGGAAAATTAATACGAAGTAACACATTAAAACGGTTATACTCACAGTGGATAACAAGCCAAAAATGTCCTTCGTTTCTTCAACCAAATGTTTCTTAAAGGATACCTGATAAACAAAGAACATATATCAGTACACAGTCTATGAATGACTCAACCGTGCCCTTAGCAAACCAATGAGACTTTGAGAGAATTAAGTTAAAGTGCAATTGCACATACCAAACACATCCCAGACAGGAAGCAATAAATCCACTCAATTATGCATTAAACTAAAAACTGATTATTATTTTAAAGCACATAGAGTATTGGTTATTATACAATATTTGTACATTATTCTATTCTTGACTGAGCTACTAGTGAGTCAGCAATGTAGCTTGTTTAATAAAGGAGAAAAAACCAATAAAATCTGATTTCAACATTATAAGCAGAATAACTGAGGCAGCAAAACATTCAGATCACATCAACACTACATAAACATTTCAATTTGGTTACATCTGAAGTTCGTGTTGAAATTCATAAACATAAACACAAACATCATACCAAATACTTGATTGAAATTCAAATTGAACATCATACAACATATCATGGAACTACTACCATGGCCCCTATTATAAACTAAAACTACAGCTAATTCACATCATCGTTCTCTCCATCTTGAATCATTTGATCATTTGTCATTAGTAATGGCTCAATCTCATCAATTAATCCTTCATCGGCTAAACCACGTATTTGTTCAAGTTTTGTAATAGGCACAACTTGTGGCATTTCATCGGATTATAAGGCATTTCATCCTCGATGTTATCTATCTCCACATAACCCCTTGGTTTTGTGGTGATTGCAGCACACCATCCACGCAAGTTTCTACACATATCTGGATACGGTACATAATACACTTGTTTTGCTTCTTGTGCAAGAATGAACGGGTCATATTGACGATATGGTTTATTCATCTTAATGTCAACAATATTGTACTCATTATTATTTCTTGTGCCACTATTATTTGTTGGATCAAACCAAGCACAATAAAATAGGGCAATCTTGTTGCTAAATACATGGTATTCCAATTGAAGGATATGTTGGATAATACCGTAAAAATCATTTTCTCCTCCATTAGTAAGACCTTTAACATGTACCCCATAATTAGTAGTCTTTTTACCACGACTCCATTCTTCAGTGTGAAACTTATACCCATTAACAAAGTAGATGTGCCATGATGTTGCCTTAGGATCGAGACTGAGAACTAATGCCTTCACGTATGGGCAAGGTGTTCCATTTCTCTCATCATTCACCTAAAAAAATACATCCAACCTTAGAGAGATTCTATTGGAAAACTACATCAATGTGAGAAATACACTTACATATTCCTTTAGCCATGAAGGAAATTGCTCGTGTATAAGACCAGAAGCATCTTCCTCATTGATATGATGATATTGCATGAAAAATCTGACACCGGTCATAAAATTAATGAGTATTGGTACACAATGGTTGAGAACAAAGATTGGTTTTAAATAATGTAGTTACTCGAGATATGGATTAACCTCATCACAATTGATTAGGACATGCACGTGAGCAGATTCCCATTCCTTATCAAGCACCCAATAGTTCTAAGGATTTCCGCTAGGACGACCACATTTGCTAAAAATAGAAAGCATTGGTTGGACATTCTGATGCTACAATTCAGGATTGTTTCTTAAACTTATACTTGGAAACAAACTAACGGTCTTGAAATAGTGAGAGCAAAAATAAGTAGTTTCACAATGCAAGTAGGTAGTGCATATTGAACCTTCAACCCTGGCTTTATTTTTCACTGAACGCTTGTAATCTCCCAACAACCTAAGAGTGAAACAGTTAAAAGATTCTTTTTCATTAGAATAATCTACAAAAAGTACACAACATTTACCTTTCAAATGGATACATCCACCGATATTGTATAGGACTGCCAAAGATTACTTCATTAGATACGTGAATCGAGAGATGTTCCATCGAGTAAAAAAAACTGGTGGAAAATTTCTTTCTAGCTTGCATATGATGATGGGAATGTTTTGTTCCAACCTAATAAGGTCTTCCAACTTCAATGTTTTACAACACAAGTCTTAAAAAAAACGACTTAACTCAGTTAGCAACTTCGATATCTCACTAGGCAAAGGACGAAAAACAATTGGAAGCAAACACTCCATGAATACATGACAGTCATGGGTTTTCATCCCCTTCATCCTACCCTGGTTGACATCAGCACACCTAGAAAGATTCGAGGCATAGTCATCATACATTTTTAGTTCCTTAATCCATCGACAGACTAGCTTTGCCTCTTCGAATGTCAACGAAAATATTTCCTCTAGCTTAGGCATGTTTCCATTAGGTAAAGGACGCATCTCTAAAACCCCACATACACAGTTTTTCGCTAAATCCGATCTTGCCTTCTCATTGTCCTTTGTTTTTGCAGGATCATTCATGATAGTGTAAAACACATTATCAAATACATTCTTCTCTATGTGCATCACATCAAGGTTGTGCCTTAAAAAGTTATCCTTCCAGTATGGAAGATCCCAAAATATACTTCTTTTGATCCAATTATGTTGTTTCTCATACCATGGAAATTTGGTGGCCTAAGCATTGTCTATGACTTTTGGAAAATCAGACATCTTCCCAGAGATCATGGCCGGTAAACATGTAAGGTGGTCTTTTTTTATTAATCATGTTTTTGGTGAATCTCTTTTTACTTTTTCTAAACGGATGATTCATTGGTAAAAAACGATGATGACAATCAAACCAAGATTGTTTTCCCTCAAATCCTAAGGTGAAAGCCTCTGTACTATCCAAGCAATAAGGGCATGCTAATCTACCTTGTGTCCCCCATCCAGACAACATACCATATGCTGGAAAATCATTGATTGTCCACATTAAATGCGCTCTCATTAAAAAATTCTGCTTCATAGAGATATCATATGTCACAATGCCATCTCTCCACAAGCGCAGCAAATCATCAATCAAAGGTTGCAAGTAAACATCTATTTTAACTTCTGGGTTGTACGGTCCAGGTACAAGACAAGCCAAAAAGATGTATGGTTTGGTCATGCATATTTCGGGAGGGAGATTGTAGGGTGTGACTATTATTGGCCAACATGAATATGGAGAACTAGAGGCTTGAATGTAAGGTGTAAACTCATCGGTACATAAACCTAATCTGACATTTCTTGGGTCACTAGCATAATCGGGATAAACTTTATCAAAGTGTTTCCATGCTTTTGCATCATATGGGTGACGCAAAACATTTGGATTGCTTGTAATCTCTCGATGCCATCTCATTTGAGTTGCAGATTCCTTTGAAGCATAAAGTCGTTGTAACCTAGGAATGATTGGAAAATAGAACATTCTCTTCACTGCCACGTCTTTGTATTTTCCCATTCCACTTTTTTCGAGGAACATACCTAGAAGCTCCACAAACTCTACAGAGTTAAAGTACAGTCTTCTTTAAAATATAATAAACATCCATTCACACAACAATCAATTTTCTCAACCTCCAATCCCAACTTAGACACCAACTTCTTCACTTGGTAACAGTTTTCAGGTAAGGATTGTTTTGTTGGATAAACATCGATAAGCATTTGAGTGAAAAAATCCATGGCCTCTTGAGGAACATGCCAATTAGACATGGAAGCCAACAACTTAACTGAAATAGATAGTCTAGATTCAGAAGCTCCCTCATATATGGATTGGTTTGCAGAGGTCAATACATCATAAAATCGTTGAGCTTCTTCATTTGGTACCTCGCCCTCACTAACAGTTTCATTTTCCATATTAGCATTCACATTGGGAACATTAACAAATTGCCTACTAGCATCATAGACCATTTCATTAATTGCATCAAATTGCTCTTCATCACCCAGATTATCCCCAACAACATTCCCGCCACTACTAGAATGACCATCAACGTCTACATTCTGATTCTCTTCTCCATGATCGGTCCATGTATAATAGTTAGACAAAAAACCATCTTTGTACAAGTGATGTCTAACATCACTAAGCGTCTTCAAGGGAACGCATACACATTTACACAAGGACACCTTATCCCTCCCTCGTTTAAAAATTCTGGTTGATTCATGGCTTTATTGACAAAATCTTAAACTCCACTAACAAATCCATCTTTCAATCCATACCTATTAGAGTTTACTCTATCATACATCCAACTTCGATCCATTTTCTACATAAAAACAAACATAAGTTTTTAATCTTCATTTGTTCAATTGACTTCTATGGTTAGTCCAAAGCTGCACGTAGTATAAGAATAGAATGACTAGTTAGCTAACTATAGCTAGCTATCCATTTTTGGGTTTGATCATATGTCAATAATATAACTGAATTCCAACTGTGTTGCATTTGTTCTATATCTCCATGGCCCTGTTCACCTAATTTATTAAGTGCTACTGAAGTAATTTGTACTCACTTGATATTAATGACTATGACTTACAAATAAATAGTTAGCTATGCAAAGCTAATGTACATTGGTACAGCAACAGAGAAAAATTGTTTCCTCCATTAACAGCGAGACCACAATATAATTCACTGTCACAAAAGTCACAATATGTATTGTACTAAAATAATTTAGCCATAACATAAACCATTAGTATGCAGCATGATATGTAGAATTAATATGCAGCATGCACGGTAGAATTCATCAGCAAGATATTATCCAACCAAGCACACATGGGGTGTCTTTCTACTTCCTAATTCCTGATTCATAATCCTAAGCGTTCACATCACAAGCAATCAAGAGAAAAACATAAAGTGAAAGACGAAACTTTGGGATCAAAGCAATTAGCAATGAAAGAAAAATTAGTTTAGATCTAAGCATATTCAAATAGAATCAGAGGAGGGAGACTTATCAAAGAAATAAGAGGGGTTATTGGTGGTCGACGGCGGATAGTGATGCGGTGATGTTCTTCGAATCGCTGATGGTCTTTGAATTGGTGATGGTCTTTGAATCGGTGATGTTCTTCAACTAACTACACATAGCAAAATTTATGATATTGATTAAATAGTTTTGTCCACAGCATTGCTTAGTATTGTCCTGTGGTTGCATCCACAATTTCAATCCTAAAACAGCAGCATTTAGGTTTCAAAGTACAAAATCCTAAAACAGAAGCATTTAGAATGATCTATTTTAGTTTAAGAAGAAGTATGGAAGGGGTAATTTGTGATGTGGAACTTTATATTAATTATTCCTAAAACTAATAATGCAGGTCACAACAATCAGTCCATCAGAAAATGATGAGTTTAGTGGATTGATGCGACTCAACGAGAATTGTACCGTATGGATTGATACATATGAATAGACCTAAAAGTGAGAGAATGACCATTGGCGGGTATCATACACACACATAATCACAAGTATAACTACAGTCATTTACAGTGGAATATGCGAATGCGATTTAAACTAGCTAAATCTAACTCCTTATTCACCATTTTGTACCTAAAACAGAACTAAATCAATTTTGTTTAACCACATAGGAATAGGATATGTTAAATCTCCCTATTTTGCAGCAATGCAAAGCCAATTTTTACTATGAGACATCATTAGTTACAAAAATAAGATGTCAATGCTAGTAGCAGCAATATATTGAGATCCAATGAAAAACTTCTCAACAAACATAGAAGCCCTTTTGGGGGACGAAATATCAAAAAAAACGTTAAGTTAAAATAACTATGAACAGGGTCACTTCTTGTGTAGGGGACATGTTAGAAAGCAAAAAATCAACTTCTAGTATAATTTGAAAATAAGACCAACATTTCAACAAGCTCTCTCACTCATCATCTCCATAGACATGTTTGAATTTCTATAATTAGAAAAACCATATAATTGTTTTAATTGAAAAGCTCTTGTGAAGTTGTGAATCAGAAGCTAATCCAAATAAAGCCTACAACAAATAAGGCTATATCCTACAGTAACAATAGTAAATACACATAAGAAATAACCATATGTCATCAACAGCAACAACAATCTATGAGCCACTAACACAGACATACAAAAAAAAACAATGTTGTTGCATATAGATGAAACCTAAAACAGGATGAAAACTAAACTGACTCCAAAACAAACCTAATGAAACTTAAATGTCACAAATCGCAGAGATTGAGAGCAGTTAGATGTACATCTGTGTTTGAGACTTGTGATTGAGAGATGAAGTTAGATGAATCGTTACCCTTTCATCAAAGAATCGCATAATCGAAGAAACTGTGGAATCGGAGAAACTGCGGAATAAAGGAATAGAGGAATCGGAGAAAGCACCGTGGAATCGAAGAAGAAACCTCAGCACCGTGGAATCGAAGAAGAAACCTCAGCACCGTGGAATCGAAGAAGAAACCTCAGCACCGTGGTAAGCAAGGGTAATCTGAATGTGTGTTTGGATTTTTGAATGGGTTTGGTAAGCAGAATGTGGGTTTGGATTTCATCACTTTTTTTTATTTTTTTATTAATATATAATTATTTTATCAATTATTTTATAAATGTATAATTATAAATTATTAATATATATATTTATTTTA